CCAGTTATTCTTCTCATTATAACAACTGACGAATTGGGTAGTTTCCAGGGTATCAAAATTGAAAAACCTAATTAGTCCGTCAATTAGATAATGAAAAAATATTAGTCTCGTATTTTTTTTATTTTCTCTTAATATGTTGCAATACTTAGATAAAATGACGCCAAGTTTAGGAGTTGGAGGTCGTTACGTCATAACGTGCTATAAAATGTGGCACGCTGTGACGTCACACGATATTTCAAATTAAAATATCGCCGAAAGTATGTAATTTAGTGAGAAATGAAAAAATACGTGTCTAAAGTTTTAAATAAATGTACCAGATGGACATTGAAATAAAATTTGGGAAACTACCCTATTGTTTATTACATCGGGCAGATTAGAATTTCAAGTGTTTATTCAAATCAGAATTTACCCGAATTAGGAATTACATTCAAAGATACCTTGTTCGACTTAAATAACAAGGCGAAGAGTTAAAAAATATTGAACCATTTTTTTTTAAAGCAAAAAGCGTAGCAAGGGACAAGTGATATAGTGATTGAAATATCACATTACATTTGAAATATAAAAATATGCCAAATTTCGTATTTTCACTCGACAATTATAAGCAAAAGCAACATCGATCTTTGTGATGTGTTAATTAAATTTTGCATTGACGACAAAGCTGCAAATAATTTTAAAAAACTACAATCAGCCAATTGTTTAAAATGATTAATTTGAATCAAATGGTTTAATGGAAGTGAAACGATTAATATTTCAATTTTTAAATATAATTTAAAAAGTGAACACCTTGCTACACTTCTTGTTTATTTTAAATATTTATAAAATTGTATATAACTGTATTTAGATAGAATTTTATTATCAGGAAAAAAAACATGTGGTATAGATTGATTTTCATTCACCTAAATACACCTAAAACTGGGCTATTGGCCCCTGTTACATGACAAGTAATAACACAACTGATTAAAAGTCTTGTCTCTATGGAAAGATACAATTTAAATTATCAAAAAGCATGCCTATATATAAATTTTCCTTCCGTTCTCCTATTTGCCTAATTATATTTATTTTTTGTCGTAAAAACAACATAACAATCACATTACGACATTCACTCTCACCTGCTTTCACGCTGGCGACCCCACTCGATCCGGCTCCTATCCATTTGACAGCGTGAAAATATTACGTTATATTTGTCAGAATACATTACAATAAAAAAATTTCAATGAACTTGGTTAATACCACTACCATGCACCCAAATCGACAAGTATCTAAAAGACTACAAAAAAAAAATTGAGAAAAAAAAACAAAAATGTCTAATGGGAAATTGACACAATAAAACAAAGTTATCATCCAACAAATTCGCATTTATTACCGTTATATATACATACAATTTTGGTCAAACAGTTCATTCGGCGAACAATACACTTAAACTACGCATGTATACTAAACCATTTATAAAAAAACTCGATTATTTAATTCTATGAAACTTTTATTTATGACTGTACTTAACATAACATCACGCCTTATCCCCGAAGGGGTAGGCAGAGGTGCACACAGAAGTACCAACCACTTTTCACTATTTATGTTATGAGTCCCATGTAATAGGGGGTGAGCCTATTGCCATATACCGGGCACATTTCCAAACTCCGTGCAACTACTGAGATTTTTTTTAAAACCCAGTAATACTTTGCCCGACCCAAGTGGTACCCCGTCGAAGTAGCTAGTATAAGAATAAGAGCCAGTTTCAATTATCTCATATTATTATAACTGATATATTTCACTGTTGATGAAGCGAAGGAGGTATCTAAGAATCGTAGCAATTAGAGCCATGGGAGATAGGCGTGAAGTTATGTATGTATGTATATATTTAGCTGGCAGATAATTTGTACAAATTAAATTCTCCGTTGACCACTCTCCACTCATTCTCCATTACAGACCTTACTTCCGATGTTCAGAGACTACTTTTGTGGATTTTTTGTAAGAAGTTATGTTCTTTATTTGGTAGTTACTACAAAGTTGCAATTCAAAGCTCTATGTATATAAGAGGCATAAAATTCACAAGTACAGTCGTAAACAAAACTTTTATAGATTAAAAAATTGAGCTCACGAACAAATATTAATTTAATCTCAATTATTGTGAAAGGTAATTAAATTAGGAATATAGTCAATAGTGTTTATTTTAAAAATGGGTACTATACAATGAAATCGTTTCGTATAAACTTCACATGGCATAACTAAACATAATTCAGCACTATATTGTCTCGAAAAAAGCATACATTAAAATTCCAATTCCATTTAGTCATGTCCATGTGAAAAACAGCACAATAATTCGTCGTAAAACATATTCAGAATATTCTGACAGCTGTCATACGTGTCAAAGGTAACGTCAAAGTCAATTGTGACAGCCGTCAAAATAGGATCCAGATTAAAAATAGTTTACCAATTTCATTTTGGTAGGTACCTAAGTATGTATGTGTTTATATTTAAATTGTGACACGATAAATACTTGTTTTGTACAGGAATGTTGCTAATTTAAATAATTATAATTATTTACCAATTTATTTTGTTCTTTTAGTGTTCAAATTAATAATTTTATTTAGGGAGTATTCATTAAATAATTGAGGACGATACAGGCCAGTTTCACAGATTAAGTTCCTGATACATTTAATTGACAAATAACACAAAACTAATTTATTTTCATAACTTCATGTATCTGTTAAGTAGATGATGTCTATATCCTGCGAAACTGGCCGTTAAACAGTAGATACTAGCACATCACATAACTCAACTCATATCAAAGTTCACGATTGTGAAATTAGTCGCGTATCCTGAAATTAGTCGAGCGCACTCGAAAAGTATATATAATGTACTCCAATTCTTCAAGATTTCATAAATAGATTTTAAGCTTCAATGTTTAGTTATAAATTCTATATTCCTTTGTAGATATTTTAAATACTTTGATGTGCTAGCATCTACCATACTACAATTTATCAATTGGAAGACATTTATAATTTTAATAGTACTCATTAAGAGCTTGAAATAAAGAAAATTTAAATATAAATCAGTTCTGCTTTGTGATATCTAATTTTTAAATAATACGAATTATTATTTTACTTTGTAGATTATGCAGAGGTGTAAATTTTACATGTACACCAAATTTACAAGGAACAGAAATTTTCAAAAAACCCTTGTAGTACAAAATAACCTTTAAAAAAACTGATTTACATAACAAAAAGATAAACCAAAAAATACAGACACCACAAGAAAAATTATAATAAAAATATTATTTTTTCTAATAAATTAACAATACAAACGAACACGATATCATACCCCAGTACAGTGTTGTTTAAGAAGACCACTTTTATATTTATAATAATAATTTGAAAAAAAACGCAATCTTCAAAAAACAACACCCTCTGAATTCACACAAAGAAAAAATACATTGCAAACAATAAAACAATAACTATTACATTTCCACAACTTCTCCAAAAAACCAATACGTACAATTCAATCTTTCAAAAATAAAAGACACAAGCACACAGTCCCATTTAATGGAATTTTCGCTGATCAATAGATGGCGCTGATTACAATTTTAAGGCTTATGTTCAAATACTCAAACGCCACACAATTTTAAGGCGTTCTCAGGAATAGTTCTGTCACTACAAATTCTTTGTAAAATGACAGAGATAGCACGATATTTAAGTACAAATTAAAAATGAGTAACGTTTCAGTATTCGGGCGTTAGGTCACACTCAAGCGATAATCTTACAATTTGGCTTCCAGGGCTTTTTATGCTATAACCCGGTAAACGAGCAGACGGATCATCTGATGGTAAGTAATCGGCGCCGCCCATGGACAACCGCAACACTAGACGCGTTACAAGTGCGTTGCTAGCCTTTTGGGGGTTATAAATTTGATGATTGTTGTAGATTCGGAGAGTGGGGACATTGGGGAGGGGCCAGAGACATAAATTGTCACACATTAAAGCCAAATCGTACACTTCTCAATTCTCATAGTTAACTCGTCGAGTACCGGTTTTATAGACACAATTAAAGAACAATAGGTCGCGGTCACCGGTGACCGCTTGGTATTTGACAGTTTAAACACTAAAAATATGTCTTTTGCAGTTTCATAGCTTGAACATCTTGAAAGTATTGTTAAAAGGACTAAAAACGATTCTACTGCCATCTATGAAGCGAAAATTCTCATTGGACAACGAGACTTATTTATCGAGAACTTAGTTTGAAAAATTAAATACTGAATAATATATTAATTTGTTTTATACTATATCAAGTTACTGTGACGTTAGTTCTATGGAGTTTGGTATACACATTCAAACAAAAAAAAATGTTAAAAGACTTTGGTATTATGTAGATGCTTTTTATCAATGTTTGAAACTTAGTATTTTATTTTTTAGTTTGATATCTGTTTCCTGATTTTTTTTAAATATGTAAAATAAAGCGAGCGTTAAAAAATTTAATCGAGTAATTTTGATTGAATTATGTTTACTACAATTTTAAATATGGTAACAGTTTACTAAAAATACGACGTAATATATCGAATTGATATATCGATTTATTTAATTTACTTGGCTAATAAGCAGAAATATTATCATGAAGGACGTTCTAAATCTTATATTTAATTGAATCGATATAAAAATCCTTGCAATAATTTCAAAACTGACATTCAATATTTATTAAGTTTTAATAGGCACGAGTCATTTGTATCGATTAAACATATCGATATTACAATAATCTTTGCAAACACTAGCCAAGTCATTCAAAAAATTATACTAACATCAAATAAAGTGTTATTTACTAAATAAAAACTAAGTCTTTTAACAGAGCTACATCGATAACAATCCTCTCACTACATCGACAAACTAATAACTTAAGAATTTATCGACAACTCCCAATATATGTACACTACAATTTATATCCATAACAGAATCGATAGAGATGTGACATCTATCGATAAAAAATGTATACCAATTTAACGAATTGAGTTATTCAATCGGCTGGAGGTACTATGATAATGGTGCTACCGCTGTCTTTTCCTGAATATATTTCAGCTTTTTCTATACTTCTTACGTAGACAACTTCTTTAATGAAAGTTTCCGATTCTTTCTCTTTCACACTCATATGTTCATCGCCGTTCAGTTGGACAACTGATACATGTTTCGATATTTGTATGTTTTTGTCGGACATTATTGGAGATTCTGGTTTGATGTAGACAGTTTGCGTCGACCGTACTTTACGGAATCGCATGTCTTTCGGCAAAGTCGCCGTTTCTCTAGCCTCTAAACTAGGCGTCGCACTCTTTCTATAACTCGAACCTAAGCTTTTTGGTAACGTGTTAGAGTTCTCTGCAGCTAAAGTGCTATCAGTTTTGACTAAACCAATATCGACGAAGAATTTCTTGAATTTTTCGACAAAAGTCGGTGACTTTGCTCTATTGAGGCTATTCGTTAATCTCTCATTGGATTGTTCTTTGGACGAAACCTCGTCAATTCTCTCTGGAATGTTTGAAGTGCTTTTGTGTTTTTCTAGAATATTCGAGCGTCGTTTCCATTTCGATTCGTCGTCTTCGTCGTCTATGAAGGGTATGTCTTGAAGGTTGTTCTCATTTCTCGTGTCAACGGCTGCGTCCTTCTTCTTTGGGAAGTTTGTATGAGCTTCTACGTATATTTGAGGGACGCTGGTACTTGTGTTGTCTGTCTGGATCCCGCTGTCGGCTAGGCTGCCGTTGATATGCGAGCTCCCGGCTCCAGTACTTAAGACTTTAGTTAACTGGTCTGATAACGACTCCATTCGATCCTGAATGGATGTTCTGTAGACATTATTCCCGTAAGACGTGCCTGGTTCTCGAGATATGTTCGATGTGTCGAACTCTATACGTCTTGGGAAGGTCACTAGTCTATCTCTGTCCATTTTAAGTCTGTCAGAGAGGACTGAGGGGTACTCTGTCGGCGGCTGTATGCTAGGATGCCTTTGATTCCACGTGGATATGGTGGTGTCGGTAAAATCGCTCATGCTCGATCTAACTGAAGACCTAGGCGACAGTCTCGACTGTCTTAAGAAGTCAGGGTTGTAATCTTTAATCGGTCTGCCGATGTAGATACGTCCTGGATGAAAAATGTTCATGTCAAATAAGTTGATTGCGTTGTCTATGGTACACATTTCAGTTTATTTCTCTCCCCGGCGGCAAACCATGCTTTGGACATGTTGAGCACCAACACCGTTAGCACAAAACGAAAAACACATCACAATTTTGCTTTTTTTTTATTTGAAAAAACGTCAAACGCGGGTTCGATAAAAATGTTGGAATAATCTACAATAGTAATAAAAATAGGACGAAATAAAAAGGACGAATCACAATAGCAGGGTACAAACACCGGGGTGGGAATAGGAATTGGGGGCAAAAATAAACTGAAATGTATAATAATATATAGGTACCAACTAAAGTCGCATTCAGTGTTAGGATAAGTTGGGGGCAAACTACTAATATAAGAAAAATAATTCTAACTTTGTTAATAGAATAAAACTAATATTAGTTCTTTCATAAATCGAGCATTAAAATGAAGCCAGCTGATGTTTGTTAAGGAGCTAATTATTCAAAAAATATTTAATAGTTTAATTTAGTAAAAATTTTGACAATAAAACTTTATATATAAGCATGTGACGTCATAAAACACGTCACTACATGTTTAGCATCTTTTTTATTTACTTAATTGATTAATTTTACTTCCAAAGTATTATGCTGTATTTGAAACAGCAACACTTATAAAAAAAATACTTAAATATCATCTTATAAAGTAAAAAAAATATATATCAATTTTAACCAATTTATTTTTAAACAACTACCAGAATAATATACCCAACCCAAAAAAAAAAACAAAAAAAATCAACATCAACTGGCTTCACAATACAAAAAAAAAATCTAAAAAACATCAATTTAACTACAAAAAAAATTATTAAATTCTATAAATACCTGGCGTGTCAATTTCTTCTTGTGGCCTAGCCGGTTTGGCGATGCTCTTCCGTTTCGAAGGCGAGTGCTTCAGGGCTAAGGAAAACGAGGGGTCATGTTAGACTGGTCGATTAAGTAAGTGGTACAAGGAATGCTGGTAAGGTCTGTTTTTTTTTATTTATTTCTGATGTAATAATGTATGGAAGCTAGTTTGTTCTTTGTTAACCTTCAAGTCCTGACGTGGTTTACTCAAACCATAAATGGTGACGTGACGTATATCAAACACCTTACGTCCAATTTCAATAACCTATCTATCTGTAGATTTGTTTACTAGTGATAGAATTTTGACACATTTTGTATGGAGCTTATGTCAAAATACTATCTCTAGTAAGCAAATCTACCTGTAATAGATAGGTTATTGAAATTGGACGTTAATACATAATCGAAATGGATTACTTTTATTTACTGATTATTACCACAATATTTACTTGAATTATGATCTGTCCATTATTATAGAATTAAGGAAGTGCGAATCAGCGGTTTTTGGTTCAAATTCAATGAACTATATTTCGCATAACTTAAAAAAATTGTTATAATCTTAGCTACAATACAATTATTTGGACATTTTTTGGAAAATTCTTATATTCGTAAACACGCCGTCTATGAGACACCCACGTCAGTAGTTAAAGGTCAAGAAATCGAATTTGTATTTGTTTTTGTTTGAGTTAGCAAATAATATACTTTATTGTTATATTTTCAAGATTTTGACATACTTATACAATATTTTTATGTACAATACCACTATTTCTTAGTAGTCTATTATCAAATTGAGAATTTAGAAGTAACTTTCACTTGGCCTTGGAATTAAATACTGGGGACAAGGTCATTGTGAAAACTATTTAATTTTTTAATCTATAAAAGATCGGATATTATTTACATAGGTATAAACTGATCTTAAAACCTCGAAAACAAACCTTAACAACATTCCAATAACTCCAAAATAGAAAAAAAAAACGTTAAAATAAAAAACATCAGCTCACTATGTAAAAAGCTCTTTTTCGCTAAAAAATAATAAACAAAACGCTTTAATATCGCAAAATAATTGTTCAAAAATGTTCTCAAAAAGCTCTTACTAAACACAGTGAAAGAATTTCGTGAAAAATTATGTTATGAAAGATGGTAAAAATCAGAAAACACTGAAAAAAAATCTTAAAAAATTATAGACTTTCCTCTTAATATCCAGTCATGTGGCTTAATTCAAGACAATCATTTTATTAATATAATTACATAAAAAACAACAGTATCTGATATTACCATCTTTGGAAAAATAGAAAAAAAAAATACAAAACTAAAAATTAAATGACGATCGTACATTGTTAATCATCCTCAAAAAAAAAATGTAACAAAACGACATCATTTCGCATTCGACAATTTTACCCAAAATAATAAAGTCCGAAATAAAATATACTGCGAAACAACGTCTTCGACCAGAGATGAAAGAAAAAAAAAACGAAAAAAGAATAGACATAGAGAAAGAACGTGCTTCGAAATTCGAAAGGAACCACAGATAAAGGTAGCTAACTACAAAGGGGAATGAATGAGCGTGAGCTCGGTAGATGGAGCCACTCGCAATGTTGGGTACTACTGTACAAGTACAAGACCATAAAAACACATAGCGCACATTGTCATAAATAAGAATATTTTAATTTTAACCCTGATATGAAAAATATAAAGTATATTTTACGATCCTTAACTTTAGACATGTTTTTATCCGCCCACGACAAACCAAAAAGGATACATATGATTTTGACCAATGTGTAGGCAATTTTTATTCTTATTTAAGACAATATAATCGCCAAAAAATACTGGGAAACTCCAAAACATCGAAGATCAAGGTCATGAATAGGGAAACAGGGTCACAGGGTCACATTCGTCATGCTTTGGGACCCCCAAAACTGGGACTTACTCAGACCTCCACGGACCCGCGCGAGTATCCGATTACGGACAATTGTCGGGAAGAAAAAATGGAAAAAAACACAGATATTATTTTTTGCTGGCAACATTTTACAAGGGCGTGCATGATCTCCGTTATATCGTCATGCTTTTGCTTATGCATCCAATTTTAATTAAAAAAAAAAAACAATCGAAAATAATAATTCAGAAATCCAAATTATAAAGTGTCTAAATACATGCCTGATTATATTGCTCCGAACGAAAAGGAAATAAAATTCGAAAATAAAACGAGTATAATTTTAGTTCAAATTAAAAATAATAAAACCACGTTATTATCTAATTCCTACATAGAGGTTTAGGTGTTGGTGTTCATACGTTTTTTAACAAATAATCTATTTCTTTTTCTACCACAAACAAACACGGCAAGTATTACTATATACATACACACCTAAGTTCATAACATACCATTCTATTCATCTATAACAATAACTATTTGTAATGTAGACCTTATTTAACACTACGTCAAAATGCATTATTTTTTTATAATACCAGCTAAGGTCAATAATAAGATAAAAATATGTCAGTCTGTAAGTCTTTTCTTTAAAAATAAATAGGATACGAAACTATTTATTATACACATATTGTGATTGGGCTTTCGAGATTACCACAATGAATTTTCGAAATCGACCAAAAAAAAAACTGTTCTGACATGGGTTTTTAAAAGAAAAATTAATATTTATTATTCTTATATTGTACATAGTACATCTATTAGCTTCAAATCTAATACAAATATATAATTTCTACAGACTCGTGTTGTCAATAACACTTTTAGTCACAAATTGTTAAACAACAAAACATGCGATTATCTAATGAACACACAGTGCAAAACAACGACCTAATAAATATAAGTATTCCCTAAAGGAATTAGTAGAAATATACAGGTGTCGCCACTAAACGTCAATTGATTACTAACATTACTAACTCAGAGGATCGACCTCATGAGATCGTAATGTTTATACTATTTCAGTCAACTCTTATAAAGAAACAGTGACGAGATCCACGATGACAAAAGAGTACCAAAATCATTTTAACAAGTTCTTGTTATACCTATTTGAAGAACTCAATTCGGTTTTAAGTCGAACTTTTTTACTGTCGAACTTTTATCGGATAAAATATAAAAATACGGTAAAATGCAATAAACGTCATACCATATCGCGTCATATAAAAGAGTATACATGTTTTATACACATTTTCGAACTTTTCCCGGTATTGTGACGAACTTTTTTCGGTCACACTATAAATGTTATATAAAAATCCTGATATAAACGTCTTTGAGGCTATTTTTCTATAATTATATTCACCAACACCCGCTCCCCATATCACATACACACACACATTATATTATATATAATATATTATATAAAAAGTCACATTAATCCCTACGGTACCTATATAGGAGGTGACTAGCGTTCGGAATTTGCGATGATTCCCCTTGATCTCAGGAAGGTCCACTGGTTTAACATATAGTATATGTTTAGTATTTTTATTGTAGGGGCGCTGTTTGATTGGCCTGAATTTTCAACGTTGTGTTTTATGTGGTATGGTTGAAATTAAAATTACGTGAAAATTTTTTAATTCGAAATGTGAGTGTTAAAAATGTGAGATAGTAAGCGCAATGAATTTCATATCACTTCTCTTAAAAGATTAATTTATTTAACTGCATATCGAATTTCAAATATGATGGGAAAATTCGAGAAAACATTGAATGCCCTAATGTTTTCTTTAGATGCTTTCTTTTCTAGCATGTGTTATAAAAAAATGTACGATTTAATTGGTGCTCAAGACAAAGATGACTTGACCTGTTCTCTTTTTTGTAATGACATTATTTAGAAAGTATTTAACATAACAAATACGTTGAAAATCAAGACCAAAATGGCGCCGTTGTTGATTATAATTATAATTTTGCTAAAGGTAATAGTCCTTACTATAATTTAGAACACATAAGGCAACGTTTTTCTCGTAAGAATACATAATTTTAAGACTCCATTTTTTAAAATATTTCCATTAAAAATATTTTTTAAACTCATACTGCCATACTTCAATATTTGACATTACCTACGTGAACAACTAAACCAAATATTATTTTCTTTAGTGACGAACTTATTTAAGTTTGAACTTTTTTCGGAACAAACTTATTTCGGATTGAACTTTTTTCGGTACCAACTTTTACCAACACAAATAGAAAAATCTATTCTTATAATTAACTTCACCGACACTTATATCTCGTTTGATACATATATTGGAGTCTTAAAATTATGTACACGACACCCCCTATTATAAATATTAGGTCACATTTAGACGTTAGACACAAAGTTAGCAATTATCTATCGGAGATCAAAAGTATACTGTAAAAATATAAACACGACTTTGAGTATTGACTCTTAAGATTGCAATTAGTTTGATACAATAACCAGCTGTCAATGCATAAGGTTGACATTTGTTTGATAATTATTAAATGATTATAAAGGTTTGAAGAGTGCCATTCTCACGTATATTCTTTATTTATTTTTATTTGGTAAACAAAAAGATACTTAATCGAGTTGTAAAGAAGGAAGGTTTTTGATCCGCCACGTATATTCTAACATATTTATTACTAGTTACTATGTTGGTAGTCGTGTCCATATTTTTATAGTAATTTGGATTTTTATTTGGGGACCTATTTCGAAAATCTTATTTGGAGATGGAAAGGTTTTTTGATGATATTATGTAGATTGAATGAGAATAGAATTAATATATATTGTTTCATTTCAAACTCATTCCTGCATTACCCAGGGAGTCGAACCCAAAATGTTCACATTAAGTTTAGTAAAACACTAAAACATAAATAACCTTTTTGTTCACCTTATGTTAAGGCAAATCATACTTCATATAAGTAACCATTTCATCTTTTTTTTTACATTATCACCTAACCATCTCCAAAAAGACAAAAACACATAATAATCTAAAAGATTGGGAATCTATTTAATTAAAATATTCATGAGAGAATAGCATGATTTTAGCTTTACTAGTGACAGGATTTTAATAGAAGAAAAATACTTTGATTTTATAAGGCTGATAACCCTATATTGTAGATGGCAACATTTGTTACCATAGATAAAGGTAGAGATCATAGAGTAGATAGAGTGAAGCATAGAGTAATACTCACACGAAGGTATTTTCTTGAAAACGGTTTTAGCCATGAAATCTAAAAACCTCTGCGCGTAGAAACTCGGTCTGTGTACTGAGACGGTGTCCTGAAATTCGGAAGTAATTTAATTACAGATTTTTTAATAGAAAAGTGTCATTATCATGTGTTTTTAACATAATAATGTTGATTTCGTAAGTAGTATTTTTTTTCTGTTTACTAAAATGTTATTTTCCTTGTTCATTTGTATAGTTTTTTTTATCACTTAAAATTGTAAAGTTGGTTGGCCTATAATTGACGATAGTATAAGGCCAATACCTGTTGTTACCTTTGTTATTTCTTAATACTATATATGTATACAGAAGCTGTTGGTATAGGTATACCTAGTACATAAATAGGTATTTAAATTAATAATTTCCATAGTAAGATTTTCTCCTGTGCGTTTACAAACATAGTTGCCCGCATTGAAAACCCGGAAAAACAATTTATAGCGTAGCAACCATTCCAGCCAGCTAGTGCAATAGCTATCGGGTCAAATAATAATTTTATTATTTTACTACTAATAGTACTGATTATTTTCAGTGAAATCATATACTTAATAGTTCTCCTCTGAAGCCTCATTAGTACTTTGTCGGTAATACAAACTTAAGTGTGGGAGAGCCATGTTTCGGCACGAATGGGCCGGCTCGACCGGAGTGATACCACGACCTCACAGAAAATTGACGTGAAGCAACGCTTGCGATGTGTTTCGTCTTGTGAGTGAGGTTACAGGAGGCCCAATTAACCCCCCCCCTTCTTCCCCCAATCCATCAATCCTCAAACTCCTAATCAGAACATAAACAAGTCAGCTCACCCCGTCATGTATCATGCTCTTCCACGTGTGTTCGAGTTTCTTGCGCAGTCTGTACGACTGTAGGATGTCGATGATACCCAGGAACAAGAGGAGTCGCTCGCCACGCGCGTTCCGAGCCGGAATGCCGCCAGGACTGGGGAGAGAAAATAGGAATGTCATTTGTTGATGAAATTTAATATAATTTGTACACAAGGGTATTTTCCTACTATTCAACTTCAATACTTTGATGACATACATAACATAACATCACGCCTTTTATCCACAAAGGGGTAGGCAGAGGTGTACATTATGCCACTGTACAATGTAACGCCCACTTTTCACAATTTATGTTATGAGTCCCATGTAATAGGGGGTAAGCCTATTGCCATATACCGGACACAATTCCAGATTTCGTGCTACTATTGTGAATTTTTTAAAAACCCAGTAATACTTTTCCCGTCCCGAGAATCGAACCCGAGACCCCTTGCCCGGCAGTCGCACTTGCCACCACTCGGCCAATGAGGAAGTTTTTGATGACTTCATCATAATTTTTTAAACATTGTCCCATACTATTATTTTCACCTGTGTCGTGGGTGCGTTTACAAACATACAAGTTCACATACACATGATGACATACAAATAGTTGCTACGTGCGGGAATCGAACCCGCGACACGTTGCGCGGCAGCCAGTTGCCCGACCACCGCGCCAACCGTGAAGTCGATTGTTTGTTTGTCGTTTTGAAAAGTCATTTTCTTTTTTAAAAAAAAATAAATAAAACGTTGCCCCACACTAGGATTTTCTCCTGTGTCGTGGGTGCTTTTACACAGTCGAATTAATTGATTATTCACCTAAGATATAGGTAGTATCTATAGTTCCGCATAAGAATATTATCATTATTAAAGGGCTATTTCATAAGTAATACTACCTCTACATTTTTTTGTGGGGCAAAAATCATCAGTCTTGGGAGCTGTATTAGGGAAGAATGAGAATTCTCCCAAACTCATGGTCAGTCTAACCAAACACTACAAAGTCAGCTATATCCCATTCAGCGACTTTAGAAACGTGCAGTCTAGACGACGGACGTGTTATTCAACGACTTGACGGGTTGTCGTTTAGTCATCCATCGAAAATCTGATGGAACCAGAAATCTGGATTTATATGTAAACAAATGTTATTTAGGAGGCCTAATTACCACCCCCCCCCCCCCCATTTCCTGAATCCCAACAATCCTCAAATTCCAAATCCCTAAAGGCCGGTAACGCACTTGTAACGCCTTTGGTGTTCCAGGTGTCCATTGGCGACGTTGATTGCTTACCATCAAGTGATCCGTCTGTTCGTTTACCGGCTTATGCCATAAAAAATTAAGTAAAAACATAATATGAAGTCTATACTCACGGCACATCTTCCTCTTCATCGATAGGCTCGCTTTCAGCCTGTATGCTCTCCATCGCGGTGGAGTGAGCCACCAATCGCTGTCGATTTATTGACCTGTAAATATAATCGTACACTTATTTATGGATGCTAAAGTGAAATGGTGCTTTATATGCACAAGTTTAGGGTGACAAATTGCGTATCTATAATTTCAAAGTTATTGTTATGAGAAAAGTTCGTTTGGAAATTTCTAAATGAGATATTTATATGTGAATGTTATACATGTGTAGTATGCTCGTGTCTTTATATATAACACTTGGTTAACCGGTTAAATGTTTTTATTATGTTAAAACTTTTATGAGCCGAAAAATTAAATACTTAATTTAGTAATTACGTAGCTAAGGCTCATTCATAAGCACCGAAATGCTGATCATAAATATGAGCCTCTAGCATGGCTAGAAAATAATCGAGTTCCTCATCAAACCGTTACGCGAGTAAGCCGAAAACATAATAATTAATTCAGTTAAATGTCATTTGTTTCTTTGTCTAAAGGTGCTCCCTCACCGGGAGCTCTCGCGTGCAATGTAACGTTACAGATCTGAGCATTACATCAGTGAAGGAGGAGAACCGAGCATTACAATGCGCACCTTGTAATGATACAATGTGTAATATCTTGATACAACTTGTAACATCAATGTCTGACATCTTGCTATGAAATGCTCAAAGACGAATATATGTTAGATTACACGCAAATGCTTGTTAGTCAGGGAGGTATTATTGTAATGTAATGCTCAAAGTCGAATCTATAATGTTACATTACACGTGAATGCTCCCGGTGAAAGAGCACATTTCTAATAACAATTCCAAAGTTCGTGTTATTAAGAAATAAATAATACGTACTTTAGTTATAATTTTTTTTTTCAATTGAGACGCAAGCGACACTACATGTATGACATCAAAAATTCTTACACTACTATTAAAATTCTTTTCTAAAAGATAAATCTCTTTTATCTAAACTCCAGCGAAATATTTATAAGAATTATGTATAATTATGAAACTTGTGCATATAAGCGACCGTAGTAGACAAAACATGGCGTGATTTAAAAACGTTAAACGAATGAATGAATGATAATATTCGACAAGAAGTATGTAGATAGCTGCATGCTTTTAGATTCCATACACATTCACTTATTGGGGTCCCAAAGTTGAATAATCATCTATAAAGCTAATTTATTTATTAAACTTTAAATAATGTATACAAAACGATAAATATTATAAACTAGCTTCTGCCCGCGACTTCGTACGCGTAATCCCATTTTTTCCCGTCCCCGTTCGTGATTTTCGGTAAAAAGTAAAAAAAAATGTTGGTCAAAAAGTATCCTATGTCGGTCTCCTGGCTCTAAGCTACCTCCCTACCAATTTTCAGCCAAATCTATTCGGCCGTTCTTGAGTTATAAGTGGTGTAACTAACACGACTTTCTTTTATATATATACATAGATATAAAAGTAAGAGGATCCAGGTTCCAGGGGAGGCCGTTTTAAAAAAAAATGTCGGTATTAGCACAGAATCTGTACCCGATATATGGCAATAGTCTCACCCCCTATTACATGGAACTCATAACATAAATACTGAAAAGTGGGTGTTACATTGTACAATGTCATTAGGTGCCATAATGTGCACCTCTGCCTACCTCTTCGGGGATAAAAGGCATGAATAGATAGCATTTACCAATCGTACAGAAAAAATAACGAAAAGAAAACTTTATTTATAGACATGTTCGTTTTAAAATAAATGTTATTTTTTGTTTTCAATGTATCCTTTAGTTATCTATTTAATTCATGAAATATCCTACATACTAATCAGAGATAGAAAATATATCGACGTTTATTATTCTTCTTATTATTATCACCTTGCCAGATATAAACAAGAAACTAAGCACATATTTACTTGCTTCAAAAATAATTCACACAATGGAACCCCAAACATATAAATGTTAGAACATGCATACAATTATAATAAATCAATACATTCATAAGAGTCAGTCTTTCCTAAGTTAATTCCAGTTAAATAAGATCACATAACTTTTATATGAACACATTTTATCGGTATTTTGAGTTGTATAATACTAGATAGACAGATGACTGTTCGAGAAAACTCTTCGTTGTTTACGTAGCTCATGATCATGGGCTCCGGTTTAACTCGAAAGTAGTCGAGCATCCCCGAACAGTTCATTGCAGTCAAACTGTATAGGTATGTTAGTGATTTTTGTTATAAGGGTAAGTATAATGATTAAAATACTAGGATCAAAGATTCTTAAAGTTTCTTAAAGTTTCCAAAAATATCTCAAAAGACCGATAACCAAACCCGAACCAGATAAAAAATAGAATAATTATCATACAAATAACAAGACAATGATTATAAGTACAAACAAGTTATTAGCCGATATTATTTATAATAAATAAAAATTAATAAATATTAATAAAAAAAAAACATTCAATATAACAAATTATATCGTACTGAGTTCTTTTCACTTGCGCGGTGAAATCCTCCTTGCCCTGTTCAGATCTGAAATATTTTTACAATACAAAAACTATAGAAAGCCGTCACCGACAGAGAAAAGATAAAGAAAAAAATTTACAAAAGATATAAGATGGTTTTCAAACAATATCAAACTAGAATGAAATAAAATAATAATAACAATTTTGAAGAAGATTTTAAGTATACATTTATATGATAAACATAAAAAACAAAAAGGATATAGTGATCTAAATAAGACTGTCAAAATACGTTTCATAGTACAATTGGTTATTAGCTTTATTAAAACTAAAAATAAAGGTAAATAAATTATACCTCTCTTAAAAAAACAAATTTACAACATCTGTGTTACAATGATGACAACTGACAGTTTGACACTGACACTTCCGTCAAACGACATGTTGACAACTTTGACAGCTGTCAAATACATATTGTTTTTTTTCATACTGTTCATAACTCGTTCTTCTTCATAAGAATCTACACTTTTGAACGAAGTTAACTAGATGACTGACATACACATTTTCACTATATTTTTGACTTACAAAAAGTATGATCTTATGTCTCTTATATCTCTTTCTCTAACTCACCTCGTCCTATTCAGTCCTTTCCGTGGTTCTCCCTCGGCATCATCACCGTCACTCTGACCTGAGTCAGTGCGTTTCCTGGCCTCTGTTTTCTCTCTTTGAGCTTCGTCTAGGTTATGTATGCCGACTAGGAGGGAGTAATCCATGATCTGGAATGACAATAAACACCAACCTTAATGTAATATTTTTATTAATGTGTGGGAGAGCCATGCTTCGGTACGAATGGGCCGGCTTGACCGGAGTGATGCCACGGCCTCACAGAACACCGACGTGAAACAAGCTCTCGTGCAACACAACGCAAGTTGTATCCAGCCGTGTGAGTGGGGTTACCGGTGACCCGATTCCTCCCCTGTTCAATACTCCAATCCCCAAGTGGGATACTTGGATATTTAACCGCTCTCTTGTCTTATCTGAGCGTATTATGAGACACAATAGAAAACACATTGCGTGTCGAATAGAATTGCGCTCCAGCAAAAGCGCTGTTGGCGGGTTGAAAACCAACCGGGTGGTTGATCGCGAGTTGCTTTGAAGTTGCGGATGTCCATGGGCGGAACCGATTACTTACAATCAGGTGATCTGACTCCTCGTTTGCAGATCATATATTGTCTATAAAAAGCCATCCTCTTTTACCATCTTACCTTAAAACTCTCCAGCACTCTACAGTCCCGCTGCATGGTCTTAATGAGTGCATTGTACGTGTCCGCTTCAAGGAACAGACCTTCAGTGTGATGTTCCATGAAATCCAGGTCCTTGTACGTAGGCGACGTCTTCTGACGTTCACTTTTGTTCGCCTGTAAGTTGTGAAAGCAATTTTCTTGTATAAAGTACATGATAATTGACAATAGTCCTTGTTTACAAAGAAAGAAAGATCAAAATCATTTATTTGCCATAACATAACATAACATCACGCCTTTTATCCCCGAAGGGGTAGGCAGAGGTGCACATTATGCCACTGTACAATGTAACACCCACTTTTCACTATTTATGTTATGAGTCCCATGTAATAGGGGGTGAGCCTATTGCCATATACCGGGCACAATTCCAGACTCCGTGCTACTACTGAGAATTTTTTAAAAACCCAGTAATACTTTGCCCGACCAGGGAATCGAACCCGAGACCCCTTGCCCGGCAGTCGCACTTGCGACCACTCGGCCAACGAGGCAGTCGAGGCAGAACGAGTTTATTTGCCATAAATATCACATTAATTAATATATACTACCAAACTTATAAGTGATCATGATATTAATCGAAAGATGTCTAATGCAGAACACAGCTCTAATGACTTCCAGTAGTCTTTGTTAGGTGGTCTAAATGGCACATATTTATACTCGATATTAGTGTTTAAGTGTCTCATTAATAAAGTGGTACTTTTAATTTGGCCCTTCTTTAAAATATCGCCAATCTGGTCGATATATATCCGTCAGGGCGCCGTAAAAGTAAGGTTTATATTTTGCTTTCAATATTTTTAGCTGAAGATGATGACTGTCGAATCACACTAATATTAAAAATGGGAAAGTTTCTTTGTTTAGACGTTTATCCCTCAATCACGCTGAAACTAGTGAATGATTTTGATGAAATTTGGTATACAGGCAGGGTATAAGCTGACTTAGGGATGGGATACTAGCTCCCATGGGATAAAATAGGAATACGCGGGCAAAGTGTATCTTATAAACAGATCTATTTAATTCAACATCATCATCACATCTGATACCAAGACATCTGGATATTACTGACCCTAACCCTCACGTCCTCTCAGTACAGCCTCTCTCGATGACTACCGGAGTAGGAAGTGCCTTGCATCCAGCGGCTACCTTTTATAAGTTCGTCCTACTAAATGACGCCCTAATTCTCAGTTGGATAAAGATATAGTAGGCTAGCAGAGCAATTTATCCTTACTATCCTTACTATATATATATATAATATTATAAATCTGAAAGTGAGTTAGTTTGTTTGTTTGTTTGTTCCACCTTCACGCCGTAACTACTCAACCGATTGCTTTGAATTTTTGCAGACGTAAAGTTAGAAGACCGGATTAAATAATAAGGTACTTTTTAACCCGGAAAAAAAAAATATTCCCGAGGAAAAACAAAAGTATTGGTATAGATGGCGCTGTGTGTATTGTTATATGTCACATAGGCTACTTTTTATTCTTTTGTGACGCGAGCGAAGCCGCGGGTAAAAGCTAGTTTAATATATATCTGTTTATTGTAGTTTCGACTTTATACTACAACAAATAAAGTTTAAAATTGAATGCAACGTACCTTCCGTTTATAAGTGGATCCTTTTAAATCGTATTTCTGATGTAGTTTGATAGACGACGGTAGCAAGTTGTTCATCGCTACGAGTCGTACGTTCTTGCTGTTGCACTGGTAACAATATAAGCCGAAGAATTTTGGCAGTAATGTACGTGGGTTCTGGAACATTGAGAAATCAGGGTCGTTAGTTTATTTCGATTTTAAATTAGTTGTGAAAAAATGAATAATTTCGACTGGTCAATACAGTATAATATTAAAAAAAACACACTTCTTTCATTAATTGATTTTATGATCAACTTAATTTTAGTAGTCTTCCAGCAATATTTTTGAGATTATAAGTATTCTGTTCACACAATATCTTACAAAGTTAATGTTTTACAGAAAACTGTAGTTTTTTGACAGTTTGCAAAAAGTATTGTATTTGACTAGTTGGTAAGTACCCAATTATAGCATTATAATAGGATTTCGTGTTTGAAATTCTGGCCTGGATGGGGGTCTTATAACATAACTGACAAAAACCTAGTTCTACAAACGTATTTTTATTAGATTAAAACAAATATTTGATCCTTACACTAAGGTTAAATTTTTATCACCAACAAAATTGATATACAACCTTATTGCTCTCTTAGAATCAAACGAAACCCAATCTTAAACATTCACAAGTAAAGCACACATTTGATTGATACACAGAAAGAATTTAAGACTAAATTAGCATCCACTATCAAAGAAAAATGAACTCTAAAAATACTTGTTCCAAATTCAAGTAGTATTCAGACATTTAATTATTTTATAACCTAATTACTCTTTTACATTGAAACCAAATCCAGCCTTAATGACTCATAAACAAAGCACAAATTCGCTTAACATTCAACAACCACTAACATCTAGTTTCGCTTGTGGCGTCCAAATTCAAGTAGTATCCAAGCAGTAGTTTTTGAAGGAACTTTTCCTCTTTATATAGGACAGACAGACAAACTGAACTTTTCAATTTAATCAATAATGTTCATATTCTATCACAAACAAAACTGATTTAGAACCTTATCAACCATTTAGTATCAAACAAAACTCAACTGTAATTCCTCACAAATAAGGCATACACTTACTAGTCACACAACTTCAATAAAGACTATATTGGCTAGCGCTGTCAAATAAAAATGAACTCTAAAAATACCTGATCCAAATTCAAATAGTATCCAGGCAGTAGTTTTTGAAGAAACTCTCCCTCTTTATGCTGGACAGTCTTGATGATGAATTCGTCATCGTTGGTTAGGTAGAAGATGCTGCCGGACGCTCCAGGGTTGCTGAGCTCACGTAGCGGTGCACTGCACATCGACATCTGGTAGGAAATAGATTAACATAATATGGCTAGGAGTGGAGCTATAGTTTTTGAGGAGTGGTCGAAATGTGTGATGTTCTTCTGTTCGTGTTTTTTGGTACGACATTAGACTTTAATTTTAAAGTTCTTTTTGAAAGTTAATATAACGCTAGTAAGTTAATCTCGTCCAATGTGTCATTGTTTCATCAAGAGATAACTTTAACTCTTAACCTACTAATATGTATTAAAAAATGCAAACTTTTGCATGTTTGTTTGATTGTTTGTTAATGAAAACGGCTAAAGGTCTGTCTGGGATAACACATAGGCTACTTTCTATCCCTCGAGAACGCGGGCGAAGCCGGTGGTAGAAGCTATTACATAATAATGTTAACATCTATTAATCTAAGTATAATCTGTATTTATCACATATTTTTATGCATTGTTTACTCACATTACAAAAACTAAACTTTGTTTTTGCTAGTCAGTCTAAAATAGCCCTTCATATCAAGAGATTATTTGGTAAATAGATTTAATATTTACCAAAAAGCCTTCTTAAAACATGTTGTGCCTATCATGTAAAAATAACGCGATTGAATTGTACGCATCTTTCTGTCGCATTTACGCGATTTTGAAACTTCAATGCTACTATTGAGTTCACCTAAAATTTCCAAATTCGAAAAGTATGATGATACATTTAATACGGAGCAGCGATAGGCCTAACGGGTTGCCGGGCTCCCTCAAGCCAATATCCTGACAATATCCCCCTTCTACACCACCACGGATGGGGCCTTAAAAGCTTACTGGGACTCCGGCTCGAAGTGCAGGAGTAGGAACTAGGTGGGTTTTAGTCAGTAAGAGTCCGACACTCCCTCTCGCCTAACCAAAGGCGGTAGAAAATCATAGGATGAATTGATTTCCCCCTCAAAAAAATAAAGTGTGAAATTTCATCAAAAACGGTTTAATAGTTTTCGCGTTAGATAATGACAAACATTAATCTAATTACACTAACTGTTATGTAACCGTTAAGGAAATAAGGAAAAATCGTGATGAAAAATAGTCGTTTAACAGTGTAAATAAAACGACTGGTACAGTTATTTATCTATGCTATTATAATGATATAGCTCTAAGTTTGTTTTTATGGTTTAAAACACGCTATTCATTGGAAGTATGAATCTAAATGAAAAATTATAAAGTTTGTTTGCGTAAATCTCCGAAACTAACGTTCCTTTAGCCAAACGCCACTTTAGCGCTTGTCTACAGAGAGAGTAGAAATCAAAATGTATGGGGATGACACTAACAAGTGTCATAATTTACGTCAATCCTTACTAATATTATAAATCGGAAAGTGAGTTTGTTTGTTTGTTCCGCCTTCACGCCGTAACTACTAAACCGATTGCTTTGAATTTTTGCAGACGTAAAGTTAGAAGTCCGGATTAAATAATAGGGTACCTACTTTTTATCCCGGAAAAATTTTATATTCCCGAGGGAAAACAAAAGTATTGATATAGATGGCGCTGTGTGTATTGGTATATGTCACATAGGCTACTTTTTATCTTTTTGTGACGCGAGCGAAGCCGCGGGTACAAGCTAGTTCCATATAATTTGGTTTTCTATTCTACATGTAGACAAGCGCTAAATGGCATTTGGTTACAGCTGCTGGTTCGCATTGAATAATTCTTATTATGTTGGATAGCCTATTTATCGAGGAAGGCTATGGGCTATAAAACGTCATACTACGATCAATAGGAGCTGAGCAGCGGAAGAAACCGCGAAAGAATATCTAGTATAGTTTAAAATGTATGTTCGATTGTATGTAGTTTCAGTTTACTATCTAGGTAAGAAACTAATATAATAGATAATTTCTAAAACTACATTTAGCTGTGCCAAAACATGCATTAATATTAAAAAATAAAGATGTTTTAGAGCTGGACGTAAAAAGTTGGGTGTTTTAAGTTTGATTTATGTGTTGTCTGTGTATCTATAGCTTTGTAGCATCTAAACAGGTGAATCGATTTTGATTCAACCACGGTTATGGTCAAAATTAATACCTCTATCAAAATCCAAAACCTTTGTATCGACATTAACCCTTCAAGTGTCTTGTGCACAGCATAATGTGCATAGCTAGCGAAAGATATCTCTTCAACACTAATCTACTGACAGTTAAAGAGTCAATAGGGTAGATGCCTAATTTTTATTTTAATGTCCGCCTGGTAGATTATTTTAAATCATTCATACAATCACACGTATTTTTTATTTTCTTACAAAAATAAATACTTTTGACGATATATTGGTTTGAAATGTCGAGTGACGTCACTTCTATGTACATTTTATACGTATAAATGACGTTGTAGCCCCCACTCCTGTCGCGGAGAACCTAACGGGTAACCGGGGCTCCGGCTCGACGTGCAGGAGAAGGAACGGGGTGGTTTTTAGTCAGTAAGAGTCTGACACTCCCTTCCGCCTCACCCAGGCGGGAGCAGTCATTCGATGATTTCCCCCCTTAAAAAAAAAATCCCCCACTCCTAAACTTTGATTCGCTTTATCTAAGTATTTTTTATTATACGACAAAATAAAAATACGTGTCTAATTTTTTCATTACCTAACTGACTGACTAATTAGAATTTTTAATTTTCATACCCTGTCATCATCCCAATTGTCAGTATAGAGTTTCTTTTAATAATCTAGAGTCCTAGATAGTTCCAGAAAATTTTAAAGATTAGTTGTCAATTTCGGAAATCAATCTTTCTGTGGCATAAAAGCCGGCTAAAGAACCTATTATCTGCCGGCATATTATGTGAGACACAATAGAAAACACATTGCGTCTCGCGGATTTCTATGTTCCCGGCATACCATAGGTTAAAAGATACCTAGTCGCGGAGAACCTAACGGGTAACCGGGGCTCCGGCTCGACGTGCAGGAGAAGGAACGGGGTGGTTTTTAGTCAGTAAGAGTCTGACACTCCCTTCCGCCTCACCCAGGCGGGAGCAGCCATTCGATGATTTTCCCCCTTAAAAAAAAAGGTTAAAAGATACCTGGCAGCAACGCTTTGTTTTTCTTTAAAAAAAACGTTACCCCTTATCTCCTGTACCGTGGGTGCGTTTACAAACATAAGTTCACATACACATGACACCCAGAATCTGAACAACAATATGGGGATCACACACGAACCCGCTTCAAGTTGCGCGGCAGTCGGTTGCCTGGCCACCATGACAACCGTACAGATTATAGCAAATCCTCTTATGTAGAGGAGGCTTATAGCCTAGTATTAGAGTGCCACGGGTTTTTAATACTGTTGATGATTCTAACGTTATCTAAACCACAGAAACGAGATGATTTTTCTATCTATCTATTACAGATTCAATAGATTGTTATCAGAGTCTTAAAAACGAGTTCTGTATATCACTTTGTTTTGTCAAGCGAAGCCGGTCGGCAAGATTTCGAGTAACATACACTGCTACGTTGATGTTTTTTTTTATACCACGTCTGTGGCAAAATAGCACACGGCCCCCCTGATGGTAAGCGGTTACCGTGGCCTATGTACGCTTGAGAAGTGGGCCTCTTCAACCTCCGGGTCACCATGACACCTAACAGTGTTGAACCTAACAGTTGAGTGTTGGAAATACCATAACATTATTGTGTTTTGTCGTTAGATCCTAAATACATAACGTCTAATACGAAAATGTAATGTATGTTTGTTTATAAAAACATGTGTGTAAAAACGATCTACTTATATAATTGGCCTTCATAAGTTAAATACACATAAAGAAACGGTAAAAAATTCTAAACCTACTTATCTATTAAAAACGAACAATACGTGCATATAGCGAAAAGTGCTAAAACATCTATTTGGCAACTACGTGACGTTCAACAAAAAAAAAATATCGTATCTTCAGAATTAATCACAAAAAAAAACTATCGAACTAACAAAAAGAACTTTTCAAAAATAATGAGTGCTATAAATCGAACTACTTAAGACAAGAGGCTGGTGACATAACACGATTGGAGCGCCATCTGCTAAACAAAAATTACCACAGTATTGGCGCAAACCTTGTATATTTATTCATTTATTTTATACTTTATTGCACACATACAAAACTCATGAATTACATTATAATAGTAATTTGAGTACATAAGGCAGCCTTGTTACACAAGGAGATGTCTTTCAAATAAATCCTAGAATGGATAGCCAGTATGCAATTATTTATTTATTTATTTACACTTCTTGTATACAATAGCGGACTTAATGCCTAGTGGCAAGAGAGATACAATTAGTAAACGCTATGGATATTTCTCGGCTGAGTATTCAGGAAAAAATTGGGATATATTGATATTTATGACATAGTTACCTAATATGTATTCCCAAGAGGTAATAAATAAAAATGCACATGATAAATGCCACGTATTCCTATGAATGTCACAAGCCTCAGTCGAAATGAGAAAATATCGGTTTTGTTCAGCGGTTAATGTGCCATATTAGACTTTGATGGCTTAGAATTGCATTCGTAACAGTTTAAGTAGAATGGAGACTAAAATCATCAACTAGTTAATAAAGATTCGCCCTAGTTAGTAGATAGTAACAACCACTGCCACACTTATAGGAGAGATCTACAGTTACACCAGAAATGCATTGAGTCAATGACGCTCAGCGTTTTAGAGACTTTAGATTCGATGATACCAACAAGATGATTCAGAAGAAATCATTAAAAGGGAAGTAAAGAAATACACTCCACTTCAAAGTGTAAGAAAGCTTTAAGAGAAGCCTATCCTGACAAAATCCCTCTTCTATATCACCACGGATGGGGTCCAATAGGACTGATGCCGAAACAGAGCCGCGGAAAACGTAAAAGGTTACCGGGGCTCTGGCTCGAAGTGCAGGAGTAGTAACGGGGCGTTTTTGTTAGTCAGTAAGAGCCTGACATTCCCTCCCACCTTATCGAGGCGAGAGAAGTCATTCAATGAATTTCCCCCCTTAGAAAAAAATCCCTCTTCTAGAACTCCCAAAAAAGATCATTAACCGTAAAACAAAAACCGATATCTATCTAATTTACACGAAACAGAAGAACATCTAAAAGCTATGAAGAAAAGGAGAATTTAAAAACGATGTCTTACTAAGAAATCATCAGGTTGGATCCCGAACAGGTCGCGAAAATATCTGAAGGCGATTGGAGCGTATGTCTTGAATTTGAACTCTGAATAATGATGGGCAGGCGTGTGGTTGGAGCCTTCGTGGGGAAAGTTCGTGGTCTCCACTGTCATGAAGTCCTGCATGAGGAGATCGCGCTCAGGTTTGGATGCTAGCCCGCCGATTGCATGCTGAATTCCTGTAAAAAAAAAGACATTTTGTATTAGAATGTTGTTTCAATCTTTCAATCAGTGTAATATGACATGTCGATAAAACGCCACTGTTTCTTGGTGGATATGCAACCAAAATGCACGAAGATCACCTTACTGTGCTTCCCGAAGGATGTCTGGATGTTTTGAACATCTGAGTTAATAGGTTCTAAGTGGGTAGGCATGCTACATTGTAGTCCTCATCATCACTTACCACCAGGCGAGATAGTGGACGGACGATCCACAATACAGATTCCTATTTTTTATTCAATAAAAACCTAGTATTGTTAATGCTAATAACGTCACTACCATAATTACTTTGCATAACTTTCCGATCGGACGTAAAGCGCTAAAATGTGACGTAAACTAAAGTTCATCGAACCCAAAAGTAGGTATCTAAACGTCATCATAATCAAGATATACCGTCAAACAAAGGGATAATTGTACCAGAGAACCAATTGCATTTATAGATTCGAGGAAAAGTTTTCCAAAAACTTTATAAAACGCGTCATGAATGACGTCAGATTTTGAGACCTCGTTTAGCGAATGGTGTGTTGGTGACCTACAAGCTTTGTGTCTTGGGTTTGAGGATGGGGATAAATCTATAGCCAAGAGGGACACATAGAGAAATTTCTATATCTGTCGGCATGTGAGATACAATAGAAAACACATTGTGTCTCGCGCATATCTACGCTCATACCAGGGATTAATTTACCTTTTATAAGGGGGAATACCTCACATGACTCCTCCTGCCCTGAATGAGGCGAGAGGAAAGAGTCAGACTCTAACCGACTGAGAACGCAGCAACTCATTGAGCTTTCCCTCAACCCAGACCGGGGCTCAAAAAAGACGTGATGCAATGAGCAAAATATAAAAAAAAACAAACATGAAAAATGGATACGTCAAGAAGAAAATATCATTAATATCACATTCAGACCCCGTGTACATCAAGCTCGAGAAAACCAGTATATCATGGTCTTGCTTCGTGTGATCTTTCTGTACATTCGTAGCTCAGTTTATACTGGTTTTGCTATCTTGATGTGTGTACATAAAAAGCCGTCCATTCATTATCATCGATGTCTCGAACAAACAAGAAACACGTAATGGCTGTCAGTATAATTACATTATTATAAAGAAGTCATTAGTCACACCATGGCCAAAGGCGATTGAGAAATCGACCTTGAAAACTAATTTATTTAAATTTATTGTTAAATACTTGAAATTTTCGTTCGGTTGCTGATAAAATTGGTTAATAAAGAAATTGTGGTGTCATTCCCTTTGCTAACAATTTGGATCCGCTTTGAGGGTTTAATTTTTAAATTAGACCCTATTTCTAAGACTGCTTTCAATCCGTCTGTCTGTATGTATGTATTTCTATCAGTCAACTGACTATCTCATACACAGTGCTAATTGGACAGTTTGTATTATAAACCCTATATAACAATTATCTCCTATCACAACGCTGCAAATCACACCCAGACCAGGCACAATTTGTAGATCACACATAGATTTTTTCTATTACTATGTCAGCCCATATTAATCTCTTTCATCAATACAAATATCTATTGGCATTCCCACACACAACCATTCAATAAAAACTACTTATAACCGAAGCGTGTCCAGTTTTCAGCCACGCTATGAAAACAACACAAAAATATCTTTATTGAAGTCAGATTGATACGAACTATAAAATATTTACGTAACACAAGGCTAATAGACGATGGTAAACGAAAACCGCCCTTATTACAATGGTGTAAAGATAGAGAAGTTATCTTCAGTGAAGAACTTTCGTTAAAAAGACATGTCCCTTACTCGCGACGATCGAAATGTCGAATCAAAAATTCATTCAATTCTTAATAAGTTATGTTTGGAAGTAGTTGCTTTTGTTATGTTATTTACTCATTTCCGAGAACATCGTGGTGTGATTTTTTTTATGGAATATGTTGATAAACGAACAGACGGATCACCTGATGGTCAGCAATCGGCATCGCCCATGGACACCTGGAACACTAGAGGCGTTACAAGTGTGTTACCGGCCTTTTAGCGATAAGGAATTTGAGGATTGTTGTTGTGTTTCGTCGTGTGAGTGAGGTTACCAGAGGCCCTCCCTGTTCCCAATCCCTGAATCCCCAACAATCCTCAAATTCCTAATCCCTAAATGGCTGGTAACGCACTTGTAACGCCTCTGGTGTTCCAGATGTCGATGGGCGACGCAGATTGCTTAGTGGGTCATCAGTGGATATAAGGTGATCCATCTGCTCGTTTACCGGCTTATCCCATAAAAAAGTACATTAATAAAATGCTCCTCTACCTATACTCTAGTTGACCACAAGGCTTGATTTATTCAACTTACTTTAGTCTAAATCACTATTACACAATCTTTCAACATAATTGGGATGATGACAGCGTATGAAAATTAAAAATCTAATTAGTCCGTAAGTTAGGTAATGAAAAATATTAGACACGTATTTTTTTTATTTTGTCGTATAATAAAACAATGCTTAGATAAAACGAATCAAGGTTTAGGAGTGGGGTCTAAAACGTCATTTCTACGTATAAAATGTACATAGAAGTGACGTCACGCGACATTTCAAATCAGTATATCGTCGAAAGTATTCGTTTCGGTAAGAAAATTAAAAATACCTATCTAATGATTTAAAATAATCTACCAGACGGACATCAAAATAAAAATTAGGCATCTACCCTATTCTAGAAGTAAGTACAGTTCACGCTAAACACAGCACACAGCTGGTGGGTGACATTGAACGATAAAACGAATGCGCCCTTGGATCCGTATCAGCTCCACAGGAAGCATTCTGCACTATACTTTATAGTTTTTTCCTCTTTTTTTCATCACTAAAAGTATTTAGAAAAACTTCGCTGACAAAATACTAGCCTAATAGTAAGTAGTTTCTTAGTCATACCGAGGGTAAGAGTAAGAACAAATAAAATACCCTCACAAAAAAAAAATACTCTCAATTAATGTATTCAAAAGTGAATTAAGTCGATTTGTTATTGCAAACAATAAGTACATCATTTTGAATGGATTAAAAGTGTATTATGGTAACAACGAAATTGTAACTGTTCATAATCATTGTTTTATTTATCTGTTGTTTACTGTTGTCAAGTAAGTAAATATGTATTTCTTTAACGAACTTTTTAAACTAATGATTCGGCAATATTTTTAACCTACTTCAAAAAGAAAAAAACAAGGAGATTCTCAACTTGACCTGTATGTATACATGTTTGCCCGCGATTACCTCGCGATTGGCTGAATCGATTTTGATGCGGTTTTCAGAAAACTGTTTTTCAATATTTATTGGTCAATATTTATTGGATTCTGTTTTTCAATATTTATTGGATTGGTTTTCAATATTTTCACGTGAAAATCTAAAGTTTGTCATAAATACACATTCATAATTTAGTTGGTAAATTTAAAAAAACACCGCTACCTGTTCTTTGCTAAATGTTTAGATAGTCCCTTAGTCGGCAGCGCTTACGACTCCAGCGGCAAGAGTATCGAGAGGCAATCAATATCAACATGCAACTGAGGCTTTTCATCTTAATCATTTCAAAATAGCTATTCAGAACTGTACAATTTCGATGGATACTAAAACCTTCGTTTATTTAATTTAATCATTTCATAATGACTATTCAAAAAGAATTTCGACAGATACTAAGACCCTATATTAATTTCATTTATGAAGTTTTGATATTTTTCCTTAAGTTACGGTCAAACAACCACAAAGGAGTATTATAGGTTAGCTTGATTTTGCACGAGAATGTATGACTATGGAAAATTTAGTTAGCACTAACTTCTATGTAAGTTGGTCATTGTAAAGAGTCACAATCATAAGGTTTAGTAATTAGTTACATATAAAAGAAAGTCGTGTTAGTTACACTATTTATAACTCAAGAACGCCTCAATCGATTTAGATGAAAATTGGCAGGGAGGTAGCTTAGAACCAGGAGACGGACATAGGATACTTTTTATAGAATACTTTTTTTTTACTTTTTACCAAAAATCACGAACGGGAACGGGGGGGAAATGGGATTGCGCGTACGAAGTCGCGGGCAGAAGCTAGTTAGTTATAAATAAAGAGTATAAAACCACTTTAAGCTTTCATTTAAACTGTCAAACACCGCGAGGACACCGGTGTCCGCACACCTATTGTTCTTTAATTGTGTCTATAATGAAAGTACTCGAAGGGTAGATTCAGTGGATGGGTTCCACAAGCAATACAGATTGAGATTCGAAGTCTACCCACAGACATATTTTACATCAATTAAAATATGTTTTTCGGCTAGTAATTATTTGACGAGGATCTCAACTAGTTTGAGTTTTCGCTCAAAGACACGCGACGCGACAGTCGCCGCATCGTGTGTCGCGGAATACTGCTCATGAATGTGCACCTCTAGCATCGCTTGAAACTAGTCGAGTTAGTCGTCAAATAATAACGTGAGTAGAACCGAAAAACATAATTGATTTAGTATGTGCCACGAACGTTATAACATAAATATTTTACATCGACCAATCTTCGTCCTATAGAACATAATACACAAAACGCAAAAATCACTCAGCTCTCCTCTCGGATCAAAAAAGTGCAATTAACATAACATAACACGCCTTTTATCCCCGAAAGGATAGGCAGAGATGCACATTATGCCACTGTACAATGTAACACCCAATTTTCACTATTTATGTTATGAGTCCCATGTAATAGGGGGGTGAGACTAAAAGTGCAATTATTATCCCAAAAACTAATTATCTCTGTAAAAAAGACTATCCAATCAGAAGCCTGACTGAAAACAGAAAATGCCACGCCTAATAACACAACAACAATTAACTCAAATACACTACAAATAAAGACCAAAATCAAAAACCATACCAGCCACAATGCAATCCATCAATTTCTTCGAATCCATTTTGGAACACCCCCTTTCGGGACCATAAATGGCACTATCGTCACACAAAAATCACAAACAACAC